AGATTTATATGTCAATAGAAATGTAATGAACTTCTAGTACTTTTTATTTGTTTTATTTGGATAACAATGGCCCGAGAGAGTTTAAATGGAGTGAAATGATGAGTGAGGATTCATATAGCTGACTCCAAGTTGTTTGGGAGTTTGGACTAAGGCATAGTTGTTATTGGAGTTTAACTGTGGCTTTGGAATGAAAGGACCTATATATAGCAGAATAGATGCAGAAGATTTATATAGCTGACCTAACTAGTTGGAATTAAGGCGTTGATTGATTGATTGAGTGATGGTATTTAGCCGAGGTTTAAGTGTAACCAGTAACCTAAACTGAAATTTGGTGTGGATTGTGGTGATCTGTGTATGCATTTTGTTGGTATTTGTCTTGAGCTTGTTGGTAAGCACATGGAGATTATTGAGTTTCAGTTGTAAGCCAAAACTCGTGTAATTTAGTGGTCAAGTAATTAATTAAGTAATCTGAAGATTGACATATATTGTCATCTGAAGGAAATAAAATACAGATGGGAGGGACTTGCTTGCGCAGTACTTTGTCATATGATATATCAGTCTAGAAGTGGCCAGATGGAAAAAACCGATGGTGATAGGAAGTTAATGTGGTTATACAGGAAAAAATAAAAACAACTTTTAGGGCTATTTGTTGGGAGTTGGGTACTTCTCAATTTGATACTTGTTCTTGTGGATGAATAATTTAGCGGAAATTATTGGCAGGTATCATCCTGACAAGAATGCTAGCAATCCCGAAGCTTCAGAACTCTTCAAGGAGGTTGCGTACTCATACAACATTCTATCTGATCCAGAGAAAAGGAGGCAATATGATATGGCCGGCTTTGAGGTACTCACCCCCTGTCCACTGTAAACTATATATATATATAATATTATTTTTTGATCAGGTAAAAATACATTTTTCTCTACAAGGTCGTTCATCACGAGTAATGACATATCACAAAAAAGTCTTTTACTATTTTTCTGTTTTTATAGACTGAAATAATGGATAATAGTTCTTTCATTTGATTCGTATCACCTTACATTTGCTTGTTATGTATTAATGTGCTTTTCAATGAGGTGACTGATTTAGCAGTAGAAAGAAAGAAGTTCAAAGTAGTGTTATCAAAGGCGCGCTTAAAGCGCGCTTAAGCCCTAAAGCGAGGCTTAAAACACGTAGAATGCTTCGCCTCGCTTAACGGGCGCTTCAGTGTTGTCATCAAGGCGCTAAGGCATGCTTTTCTATGCCAATAAGCGTAATCCTGAAGAGGCGACACTAAACAATTGATATTTCACTTTATCGTAAATTCTCTTCAATTTTTTGGTTCATATATTTGGTATTCATGCTTATAGATATTAGTCTTGGACTATGTACACATATTTGTAGTTTTACTCTATTTGCCTTTCTTCCTTAAGCCCACGTTTTATTTGCGCTTAAAGCCCCAACAGACCTTAGAGCTTTTTTGCGCTTTTCGCCTTTGATGACATTAGTACAAAGAGAACTCTGGATGTTCTTGATCTCAAGAAGGAATAGAAATAAGAGTTTGGGTAGGCTATATAGCTGTAAGATAAGTTGTAGCTTTATGGCTTCAATCAAAGAATATTTAGTCATTTGTATTCACAAGTCAAAACTATACATGGGCCCTTTAGGTGCCGACAATATAAACTTAGCATATCGTAAAGGTTCAGCAAGATGTAGATACTTGAAGGTTGCAAGATAATGCTGCAGCAATCTGGATGTTGGAAATGCAACTCCGTTCGTTCTCGAAGTTCCCTTTCTGTTGTATTTGGGGAATATTCAATAGGTTTAAAGTTGAAAAGTCATCCTGTCAGCTGCAGTTATCTGGACTCTTCAGTTCTCCTTGACATATCTAGTCGAGGATTGTTTATAGGTCCCCGAATTATCTAAGAAATATGCTACAATAGAACATGTAAACATTTTTTGTTCTTAACATTAGTAGCATAAGGTGTTTATATTGGTGTTACAAGAGTTTTCTAATGCCAATATCCTCTAGTTCGAAGGTTATGGTGCATCTTAGTGATGTGGTATTCATGGAACAAGTGTATAAAATTTTATGCCAGTATTAAGCTGTTATAAAACCATCGAGGTAGGTAATATCTTAATCTGGTTACAATAGGCATTATGTATTAGAAGCCAGAGTTCCAATTCTGTCTAATTTTATTAGCAAATTATAGCTAATAAAACCTCTTTAATCTACGACGCTCAAGGAATGGCTTTTGCCGACTCTTTTCACATTTTGTTTTGAATTTAAGGCTATTGAAGCTGAAGGAATGGATATGGAAATTGATTTGTCCAACCTTGGAACTGTCAACACAATGTTCGCAGCATTGTTTAGGTAAGTCTGCCTCCTCAAATTTGTTTTTTTTTTGGTGGTGCTTTTGATTAGTTTTGTTAAATTTGTCTTTTTTCCTGGATAGCAAGTTGGGTGTCCCTATCAAAACAACTATTTCTGCTAATGTTCTTGAAGAAGCTTTGAATGGAACTGTCACAGTCCGCCCCCTTCCAATTGGCACTTCAGTCAGTGGAAAGGTAGAATTTAATTGTCCTTTCAAGTGGCAGGATAAAATCTTTATGCTGTACCAGGGTTGACATCACCTGAGCTTTAATGCAGGTAGAAAAGCAAAATGCTCATTTTTTTGGTGTAACAATTAGTGATGAACAAGCAGAGGCAGGGATTGTAGTAAGAGTTACTTCAGCTGCCCAAAGCAAATTCAAGGTACAGTGTAGATGTATACAATTATATGATAGTTATTTTGATGCACTTTTTAAATGGTACCTATATGTTTTCATGCTTTTGTGTTTTCTACTTTGTGTTGTATGTTGCGATACTAAAACTGAATTTCATTTACTTTTCAGCTACTATATTTTGAACATGATGCAAATGGGGGTTACGGCCTGGCCTTGCAGGTAATGCATTTTACACTTTTGATTCTTCATTGTGTGCTTAGCGAGGATTTGTATAGCCAGTTATTGTGTGCTTAAGATATTTCTTGCTCTAGATTTCCATTGAAGAACCTTGATGTATGTGGCTAGGGAATAGTAAAGCAGTAAGGTGGACCTCCATAGGAAATTTCATTACTGGAAAGCTAAAACACGGTACCTAAAAATTAGCTATTAGAGGACCTCGGTAGATGTGCCGAGAGCATTTTAGAAAGACAACTTTCTACTGGTTTATTCAGATTATCTCCATGTAACATAAGTTTGAATTGAGTTCTCCTGGAATTCTTGTCATAGTCTTGACAAAAAGTTTCTGCTGTTAAACTCTGGTTGAAGCCTAGCCAGCATCATAAGTTTAACCCCTGCAGAGGTCCCCGTGAGTTGCATTAGACCAATATAACATACTTTCTAAAAAAATTCTCCAGTATGCTGATAAAAGGTTTCTGCTGTTAAACTCAGGTTAAAGCTTAACCACCAATCATTAGTTTAACCTGAAGAGGTCTCCCGAGCTGCATTTGATCAATATAACTTAGCTGTTAGAAGTATCACTTTATTATGGTCAATAGAGAGAGAAACTCCTACTTCTCTCAGAGGCAACGAAAATGGAATCTCATTCTTTCAAGGAAGCTCTGATTTGGTCAGCGTTGATCCTAGATGGGGATTGCAGGAGGGTTGATACCGGGTTTGAACTCATTTTTAGATTGTCTAGGGACCATATCATGGCAACGAAGGAGTATCTTAAGACCTGCTTGGTTGGGAATTTGAGGAGAATGTGGTCTCAACGGAGGTGGCAACTGATTGGGCTTTGGAGACTTGGTAAGTGATGACGGGGCTGAAAGTGTCGGCGATGGGAGGTAACACCTTTCTGTTTTCATTTTGCTTCTGAAGTCGATACCCGTGTGCTGGGTGAGGGATTGAGATGGATGTGGGGAAGTTATCTTCTGTTAGAAAGGTGCGGTGAGACTTCTGGCTGCAAAATTCAGAAAAGGAGGGAGGATATTCTGGTGTTGAACGTGGTTGTTTGGCGGCACATTGTTGGTGCATTGAGTTGTTTAGAAAGTGGCTTCATTGATGTTCACTATAATCTGGCGGACCTTGCTAGGGTTAGGGTGCTTGTTAGGAGGAAAGGTACCAGTGTCTATGAT